TGAGAGAAAATCAACAGAAACATGCGGAATTACCAGTGAATAATGACCAATCAGAGATTAAGACACGATCAGGTAGAATTGTTAGAAAACCTGCATATCTGAAAGACTATATCGAAAATTAAGTACACTAGTTTTGAGATTCAGTAAGAACACTAGTTTTGAGATTCAGTAAGAACACTAGTTTTGAGATTCAGTAAGAACACTAGATTTAGGATTCAGTAGGAATATTATAACCCTACAAGAATATTGACTTATCACTTATTTCATAAAGAAGAAAGGATGTAACAAGTGGTATTCAGATACCGTAGTTTTATATATTTAACCTTTGACATGATTATGTTAATGTTGTACGCATGCGTAGTATTGTGTTGTTCTTGAACGGCATGGCCGACACTCAGTAAAATGTAGTTGTTTACCGACGCAGCAAAGACACTGTTCACGTTGTACTAGCTTCCGTTTTCGTCCAAGATCTATCTAAAATAAGCGATCTTGGAACAGTTGTTTCTGTACCATAACTGGGATTTAGGGTCGTGTTGGTATCCTAGCTGGGATTTGAGGTGGTTTCTGTACCATTACTGGGATTCAGGGTGGTGTTGGTATCCTAGCTGGGATTTGAGGTGGTTTCTGTACTATGACTGGAATTCATGGTGGTGTTGGTATCCCAGCTGGGATTTGAGTTGGTTTCTGTACCATTACTGGGATTCAGGGTGGTGTTGGTATCCTAGCTGGGATTTCAGGTGCAGTGTTCTCCACGAGGGGTTTAAGAGGGGCGCAGTGCCCCTCTTTAATTTATTTGCGCCCCTCTTCAATTTGTAGCGCCCCACTATTTATCTTCAGCGCCCTCTGTTTTCGGTGAACAGCTGTTTCACGAGTCCCAGAAGATGTCCCGACGACTTTGTTGAGAGACCTCTTATTAATAGACAAGCGATAAAACAAAGAACTAAGAGACAGATAGTGGCATAGGTGACAACTAAGACAATGGATGGATGTCTGGAGAAAAATTGGCTGAATAAACAAAAAAACAATGACTGGATGCGTGAAGTGATTGTCACAAGCACTGCGTTAATCCATAGACTTTTCTAAGGTCTATGGTTAATCACGCAATGGGAGAGTCAAAACAAGTTCCCTCATCATTCCTGAATTAGCTTAGATACTTAAGAACAGAAGAACCAGCAACAATTTATTGGTCCAATTGCTTGTTACTTGCCTTTTATTGGCGAAAAGTAAAAACGAATCATCAAATAAATCACCAAAACAAAACGTACGGTAAACACAGAAACAACATGGATGACACGGTATCTGATTTGACCTTTGTTCTCAGTACCCATGATGCAATCGACATAATGATTAATCTATTTACAGTCATTGGATTCGATTTTTTCTTTTTCTTTTAAATGATAATTTTGTTATGTGAAAATATTTTTCTTCTTATTACTTGGGTTTTTCAACTATTACAATATGTCAGAGCATTAATAAAACTTTTGGAAATGAAAATACTTGAAAGAAATTTTAAAAAAATGAATGAAAGGCTAGAATTTCACAACTTGTTCCATTACAGAGAATAAAGTTGATATTCTTCATTTGTCAAAGTTGATATTTTTTTTTACATCAAATGGTTTAATTTATTCATCAAAATAATTCAAGAACATTAATATAGTACTTGTACACAGTATTTAAGATTGATGTAAATATATAAGTGCTAAGAATTTTCTTTGAAATGTTTGATTGGTATGCTAATTATATGCAAATTAGCGTTCCTCTTTAAATTTTATTTGTGAAGAACACTGAGGTGGTTTCTGTACCATAACCAGGATTGAGGGTGGTTTTGGTATCCTACCTGCGATTTGAGGTGGTTTCTGTACCATGACTGGGATTCAGGGTGGTGTTGGTATCCTAGCTGTGATTTGAGGTGGTTTCTGTACCATGACTGGGATTCAGGGTGGTGTTGGTATCCTAGCTGTGATTTGAGTTGGTTTCTGTACCATGACTGGGATTCAGGGTGGTGTTGGTATCTTACCTGGGATTTTAGGTGGTTTCTGTAATGTGACTGGGGAATCAGGGTGGTGTTGGTATCCCACCTGGGATTTCAGGAAGTTTCTGTACCATGACTGTGATTTAGGGTGGTGTTGGTATCCTACCTGGAATTTGAGGGGGTTTCTGTACCATGACTGGGATTCAGGGTGGTGTTGGTATCCTAGCTGGGATTTCAGTTGGTTTGTGTACCATGACTGAGATTCTGGGTAGTGTTGGTATCCTAGCTGGGATTTGAGTTGTGTGCCATTATATATGGTGATATTGGTACACTGAATGGGATTGAGAGTGATGTTTTAGCCCTAAGGGATCTAGAGTGGTGGTACAGAAATCTATGTGTTGGTATCCTACTGTATTTACTGGTTTTGTTTGTGTGAAAAGTATTTCCTTTTTTGAATGAATTTTTGGCAAAAGCAACACATATTTTCAATATTTCTCAAAGTAGACTAGTGAGATAACCAATATACCTTGTTTAGTGTGATCCAACTTCAAATCAATTTGGTATATGTCAATTTCTGTATTATTTTCTGCAATATGCATGTGTTTTAATTGAAGAGTGTTTTAGCCCAACAAAACAAATAGCTACATAAATTGTATGACACTGTATGTCTGTACATTGTATGTGTACTTCATAGATGTATATTGATTATAGTAAAAACAAATTTGTGATCTTCTTGCAGACATTACCTATCTTGACCATGCTGGTACAACACTGTATGCACAAAGCCAGTTGGATAATTATTACAAGGATTTGTCTGATAATGTGTATGGAAACCCTCATAGTCACAACGCCAGTAGTCAACTCACTACTGACACAATAGAGCAAATCAGATACAGGTAAGTAGATATTACTCAATAATACTAAGACTTATCAGATAAAGGTACAGTAAATATTACTCTATAATATCAAGACTTATTAGATACAGGTACAGTAGATATTACTCTGTAATACTAAGACTTATTAGATACAGGTACAGTAGATATTACTCTGTAATACTAAGACTTATTAGATACAGGTACAGTAGATATTACTCTGTAATACTAAGACTTATCAGATACAGGCACAGTAGATATTACTCTGTAATACTAAGACTTATTAGATACATATACAGTAGATATTACTCTGTAATACTAAGACTTATT